CAATGAGATAGATAAAGAAAGAATAATTGAAAGACATCACTGTAGATAATGAAACCATCCTCGTCGAGCTCCTTTAGAGTCTCGCCTCTTCTCTTATGCTCTCTAACTCATGCCTCTAGGGCCGAGTGATTGTAAAAGTGTGTATGAAAGCTATAGTCCAGCCTCCTATTTATCCTAGTTACAGACAATGCAGTCAAAATCGCGCTTCAAAACTTAAAAACTTACGATTTTATGTTTTTGGGTCAGCAAAACTCTTTCGTTTCCATATAAAAACTTAAATGTATAAAATCAGACTAAATTGCGCTTTACAACTTAAAAGCTTACGTTTTTACGCTTCTAGTTCACCAAAACACTTTACGTTTTTACGCTTTTAGTTCACTAAATGAGTATTCTTTTCATGAAATTAATAATAAAAAATATATTTTAAAAGTAAATCACCAACAATATGATGCATTTGAGATTAAAAGATACATATCAGAGACTTGTTGGATGCATTCTCAACTTCAATAGAGTAATCTAATTCACCAGCTGGGCTCTTCCCGAATTCATTAGCATAACGAACTTATTATTAAGATGCTATAAGTTGGTCTACTTTAAACATAATTGCATGTATTTATTAACTTATCTAAATTATGTGCATTCATATTTTACATAGTATATGTCATACTTAATAGATTTGTAGTTATTTTTCAATATGCGTCAAAAACTTACGCTTTTACGCTTTGATTCTACGTTTTACGATTCTACCCATTTTCCGTTTCTAAGTAGAATCGCGCTTTTGACTGCATTGGTTACATAAGATAATTTTTTAGTTCTTTTACTCTTAAAGTCCGCCAAAACATTTCTTGTACGACTTGAAATCGAATTCCTTTGACTTGAGGACGAATAACCTTGAAGAGGAATTTTCTGGAGGGCTTGGTAGTACCCGCCGTTCAATTTTATTCTGCAAAACGACCCATTTTTTGTGGCCAAATTCATCTTGGGCTCATCGACTTCCGCAAATTTCAGCTCGTTCGGATTTAATTTGACCCTTATGCTCTTCAAATTACTGCTCTTTGGTACATAATTTGACCTTCTAGTGTGAGAATCCATCTTTGTTTGAGCCCATGAAATCCTTGAAAAGTACAAAATAACACCAAAAGGCGTAAAATAGTACAAAAACACACACAAGGTTAATCATTGGCATATAAATTAAATATTTACGATTTCCACATGAAATATGATGGAAAATACTAAAGATGTATTGACAAATGGGAAAAAAATGAGTGTCATCATAAGTGCCCACACTTGAAATTTGCTTGTCTCCCCATACTAGCTCTCCATCGTAATGATGATAGGTAGCATGTAAGGAATCCTCATATAGAGATCTCGATCTGATCTCGATCTCTATCTCTAGCTCTGTCTCTTCATTCTCCTCAAAACATCATCATAGTTGGGTTGATTTCTATCCTCAACTTTAATAGGCCCCACTACTCGATGCATGATCACTCCCATTTTGTAGTGTGATCTCTCCTTTCACTACTTTGATCATGGCTACCTCTCTCTTACTTCCTTGAGTTGATGCTCCTTCTTTCTCCTACACCATTTCACAAGGATGGGTCTTCGAAACTCCTCCTTCCTTGAAAATCTTCTTGAAAAAGGACTCCCACGAGTTGTTGCACCTATTTTTGGCTATGGATGCTCTGAATCTTGTGAGTAGATGTGATAAAAAATAAGAGGGGTGGCCTCCCTTTTATAGAAGAGTGGTGGGTGGTTGGCGGGTGGTACCGCCCCCCTTTTCCTTCATTGATACGAAATCTTTTGAGTCCCTCTTCATATAGGACAAAAAATTGGCACGACGAGTGGGTGCGGTGGTAGAGTGGAGGGTTAACCTGGGTCTTTCTTCTTGTGGGTGAAGGTCCAGTTGGAATCCTTTTTGTGTAGGAAAAGGAAATTTCACAGTTGCCAGTAGGGTGGCTTGGTGGCGGGTGGGTGACAGATGTAGGCGCCTCTCTTTTTTCCTTCTCCATCTCTGAGTTTGCTCTTCTTATTCTTCAAGGATTCGTCATATGAGAGATTTTTGGCACCATTGGATCTCTTTGCTATGAATTTTTCTCAAAAAAAAAAAAAATAAAATAAAATAAAACAAACAAATGTAAAAGCAATAAAACGGTTGGAAAGAAAGTGCTTCTTATCCTCAACATGAAATTGAAAACAAAGCATCAAAAGAAAAAGAATGTATGGGTTGTCTCGTTAGTAGAACTTTCATTATACCTCCTTAAGGTGGATGCCAAACATGGATTCCCTCTCATGAAGCGCTTTTCTTATATGCCTTTGAGCCAGGTATAGCTCCTCATTCTTCAAGCTCTCCAACTTAGGGCTTCCTTGAAGTCCATCATCTTGATTGCATGCTCTAGTTGTGTATCATCCTTCTTCTTCTTCCTTTAGTTTAATGGACCATGAAGTATAAGCCACCTTAGTCTCCACCTTGCAATTTTTACCCCACACTTCAATTTATGAGCATTGAAAAATGTGGTAGAGGTATAGATACAATGAGGGACTCATGTATTCCCCAGTTTGGGTTAGATAAGACGCTATAGTCTCATGGCTCTCTAGAAATTCTGAATGGATCTTCATCCATGAGTCAGCTGGCTTGACTCCAAGATGCATCTTCACCAAGATTTTGCAGTTTTCTTCATGGTCTCCAAATTTGGGAATGTCATCCTCCATCTTTTAAACTCTTATAATTAGAGAATAATTGTCTAGAGTAGGTGGGTTGCTACTCCTTTCTCTTCTCTCATTTTTGTAGATGATGATGTAGATGAATCTTCTTCTCCAAGATCAAAGTTATAGGCTTCGTTGATTTCCTTCTCCCATCTCGAGTTTAAAACAAGATGAATGTGACTTAAAGACTCACCTATCAAGCTAGATAATGTCTCTTCATTGATTCACTCCTCCGCGATCTCTTGGATGGCGGGGGTATCTTGCTCTTTTCCTTGGTTGGACTCCATTTTTGTTTGATCATTAGCATTTCTGATAGGTGGCTCCTCTTGAAGCTCATCCTTTAGTTGGATAGGTTGAGATGGTTTCTCCTCTAGTGGCTCCTCATCTTTATGCTCCTCCATAGGTTGACCAACCTTGATTGATGTCTCCTCCACCCCTTTCTCTTGTTCAATGGTGGCTTGTGTTAAACCATGCCTAAGAGGTAAAGGGGGATCATCAAGCTCGACTTCTCTCTCTTGGATACCTTCAATGGTTGAGGATATTTCGATAGGTGGATTTCATGTGGATTGATATTGACCAAGTTGTAAGATATGTTCAAAGCCTTCAAGTGATGTGAAGCTTTCAACATCTTCCCGTGAATCCAAGAAGGTTTAGATTATTTTTGGTTTGAGTTGGTAATCTTCTCCATCCAAGGGTGCTTCTTCTATAGGGGGTATCTCTTCTTCTTCCAAAGATTTGAGTAATAAGATCATCTTCTTCCATATCGAATTCCTTGACCTTGAGATAATCTTCTTTTTTAGGTTCCTTGGTAGGTTTATCATTTTTCTCTTCTCGGATAGGTTGAAGAGTCTCCATCATGGCTTCCATGGTTGGTATGATTATCATGTTGTGAGCGGCTTCCCTCATCCTTTGCATCTTCCCGCAGGGTTCTCTTGCCTTTCAGAGGTTTGACTTATAAACTCATATGTTTCTTCTCTAATTTTATTGTCCTTATGATGATCCCCCTTTCCATGGTCTACGATCTCTCTATATTTTCCTCTTCTAATGGTTAGGCATTGAGATGATCTTCCTTCTCTCCTTGGTCCACCAACTCTTCATGCTCCATAAGCCCTTCATGGTCTATGATCTCTCCATATTGACTCCTCAACATGGTGGTTGTATGGTTTTTATGCTTGGCACTAGATGGATACTTCTTTTTTCTTGATGCTCCATAGGCATTGAGATGATCTTCATTCTCTCCATGGTCCACCAACTCTTCATGCTCCATAAGCCCTTCCTGGATCCATCTCTCGAGGTTTACATTGAAGAAGCTGAGATCTTCATAGTCTTCTATTATGACTTGCCTCGATGCTTACCCTCCATGGTTTTTATGCTTGGCACTAGATGGATACTTCTTTTTTCTTGATGCTTCATCTCTTGAGCTTTGATACCCCTGGCGTGGAGTACTTGAATAGATATCGATGACCATCTTGCACCAATTGAGCTCCTTATTTTTGGGTATCGCGTCCTTGGATGGTTTGTTATGGCTTCCTAGAGTTCTAATCCAAAAAAACAAAACCAACTAGAGCGTAATACTTCTCATTTACGAAATGAAAACTGAACACAAGAGGTTAGTTTCTTTCAAATACTATAAAAAATCCCCCACAGCGGCACCAAAAACTTGATGCAGTAAATCGAGGTCTTTTGATAGCAACTACTCAAACCTAAAAACTCGTGCTTGAATTAGAATGCAATGAAAAGTAAATGAAGTTGGTTGATGTGCCCTTGGTGGAATATCTAATGTAAAAAAGGAAGTAAAAGACTATTGTTTAGGTAGTATTTTCTAGAGGATCGTGCATACAATCTCCTAAATAAGGTACATCTATGCATCATCTATTATGATGCGCTATCCCATCCACTAAGACCATCTTACTCAAACTTTCGCCACGTGCAATAGGAACATGACTAGCTAATGCATGCTTTCGCTTCATGTCATCACCTAATCAATGAAGAACAAGGAAGTTAGGATAGCACATCATTAATTATGGGCCTCTATGAACCATAAGAATGGTCTACAACATCGATGACTAGTAATCAAGCATATATCCTACACAAGCATACACACATAGATTGTCAATCCAATAGTACATACATGCATAGGATTAGAGCATATCACAAGGAAGTAGTTTCCTAACATTCTAGATGATTGTAGCAACACATAATAGAGTCACACACATAGAGTAATTAAATTACTAGAGGATAAAGAGTGTCAATGATAATAAGCAATAGATGATTAAAGTGCCGTAAATACAACAAAGCATCTAAAGGAACTAGCATCGATGAACTAAAGCATTGAATGCAATGAGAATCTTGTTATAGAAAGTACTGCATAAACAACATACCCTAAACAACAATAAGCTAGATAGACAAATAATAATTGGATGACATCATCGTAGATGATGACAACATCCTCGTTGAGCTCCTCGAGAGTCTCACCACCTCTCCTATGCTCTCTAACTAGTGCCTCTATGGTAGAGTGATTGTAAAAGTGTGTATGAAAGCTCGACCCTAGCGTCCTATGTATACTAATTACATAAAGGGGGTTTTAGTCCTTTTATTTATAAAGTTGGCCAAAACCTTCATTGTACGACTTGAACTCGGATTCTTTCGACTTGGGGACAAGTAACCGAGATGAAGAATTTTCCGGAGGGCTTGCACCCGAGTGTCTGTATTAAGTTGTTAGTATCGGCCACTGGATTTTCTTCACCAAATTGGCCGATGTTTTGTGGTAAACTTCATCTTACGCTCATTTTCTTCACCAAATCACCTTCTATTGGGTGAGATTGCCAGTCAACACAAAGCAAAGAACCGACTCACACTCGTGTTATCGAACCCTTACTCCCAATCTATGGTGCTCTAATATCATCAAATAGGAGTACTCATATCGTGACCAGAAAGAGGAACAGGGGCCACGGTCCAGACCGTGACTTTCCTCCCAGCCCATGACATCTCCTCTGACCTCTGCAAAATGAGTCTATAACAGCTTAATGAAGATTTACGGTTTTAGCCTACCACATAGTTCTACGATGTCTTTTTTGTTTCAACTTTTAATCCGGCCCCTTTTCCCTAACTTAGCTTTGAATCCATACCATCAATGTACAGTTAATGCACTGAAAACATTTGCGGTTTATCAATGCAACACTTCTAGAGCTACCAATTTAGTTTGTCAATGGCGGATTTGGGTATCCGCAATGATTTGAATCCGAATTTTCAGAGTTTCGCTCATTAGGGAGATAACATGCCGGATTCAAAGGTTCGCATCAGAAGTGTTCTAATTATTACAACACAAGGGCGACAACATCGGATAAAAGTCTACTCAGGCCATAAAAGGGAACCCAACTCAGTAAACAATTTCAACTGGTCTTCAGCTAGAAACCAACTCGCTTATTATTTCGTCCAAATGACCGCCATCATCCTAATGCGCTCTGCAGATTTTTCTGTTGAGGCATTTGATCACATCATTGGCACTCTCAATTCCTGAAACATATCAACATAACACATAAGGAAGAAAAACCACAACAGACCTTTAATCACTTCAATTTCAATTACAGCACGTGAACCAAAATCGCTTCTCAGCTTTAGGAAACGTACCCGAGAAATATGCACCGGTGGCAAACCCCATGTACTTCTCACTTGTATGTTCTCCAGTGAAGTAAACAGGACCAACTGGCGCCTGATGAAATTAAATCCAAACAACATATAAGCAAATGATCAATCCCACCATGGAATCATTCATTGATTTTTTTTTCAGTGCAAAAAGGAAACCATTCGATTACCTGCAGATGCTGAAACTGCTCGTGGCTATAACGCGGCGGCCAGTTGACATAGCTTCCCTTGAAGAACCTGTTGGTCCACCATCTGGGAACCAGTATAGCATCTGGGTTCGGAATGTTATTCCCAAACATCTTCTTCAGAACTTCCATCGCTTCTGCCTTGGTTGCTTCATCCGACTGCTTCTCTATTCTGATTGATTCGTCTCCAGTCACGGTCACAAACAGTATGTTCGATCCAGGATACTCGTTCTCCAGATGCTGCAACATCATGAGAAACATTTGTAGTCAAACGTTGTTGTTTTTTTTTAGTAAATGACTTGTCTCCATGAAGTGGTGGCACTAATTTACCTTCCAGATGGGGTAATATCCATGGTGTTGATGTGCGTAGAAGAAGACCTCAGTTCCAGGGCCAGTGGGCCAGAACTTGTGAGGGAACTTGATGAATATCTTGGTGTATGTAGCCATGCTGAAATCCGATATCGCCACTCTTTTCCACATCTGAATCCCACAAGACAAGTCGATTAAAACGGAAGAAAATGACTAATGTGATGTGATGATGAAAATTACTGATATGGTGAGGAAATGATCCTGACCGGGAACTCAGGTTTGAAGGAAATGAGATTGCTCTGGAGAACTCCCAAGCTGGCAGAGAGGATAGCAAATTTGGCCTGGAAAACAGAGCCGTCCTCTGTTTTCACGGTCACTCCTTTCTTGGAATAGCTAATCTCCCTCACCACCTTATTCAGCTTCAATCTAGGGTCGCCTTTCTTCAAGAACTGATCAGCAATATGATAAGCCATGCTCTCAAAGCCTCTTGGGTCCTTGACATAGTTGAAGTTAACCCCGTGATCCACAAGCTCGTGCCTTGGGTACTTGTGCTTCACGCTCGTCAACTGTGGCGCCTGTGCATCTATGTAATCGTTGTTGAAGTAATCCACCACCATCTCGAGAGGCGTCGCTGGCACACTTTCAAACCCACAACAACAACAACAAGGAAAAAGAATTAGCCACCATAAAAGCAAGATTCATGAGGTGGGGAAATGGAGATTGCTGTGTGATAATATTACTGTTTGTAGAGCAAGTAAGCTCCCATAACGGACACGTCTTGGTCGCTTCTGGGATTGGAGTTGAGCGTGGTGGAGAGGTTTGTGCAGAACTGTGCTCTGGCTGCTCCTGCCCCCAATGCTGCATCAACCTCTGCTTTTGGGTATAATCCACCTCTGTCAAAACAAACGGACAATGTAATTGGCTGTCCTGTTTTTTTACTCTTCTCAAAGACAAACTCAAACCACAGTTTTGGAGGAGAGGGTTTTTACTGTTGTTTGTAGGTGTTGGAGGAGAGGTTGCCGAAGTTGGTAGGGTAAGTGTTGAGCTTGAGGGAGTTTGCAATGTCGACGAGAGGGTTGTGCTGTGGGCCGCCGCCGAAATACCAACAAGCGCCAACCTCCATGGTTTGCCCTGCAAATGCCACTTTGGACAGCCTTCCTCCAATCTTTGGGGTTGCTTCCAGGATTACAATGTCCTTGATCCCGGCATCGTGAAGTGTCTTCGCTGCTGCGATTCCTGCATTTTTCGAATTACGCCCTGAAACAGTTAAGTCTCTTGGGTAGATGGAACGGAGTGCACAAGATAAAAGAGATTAAGCTGATAGTGTGTGTGTCACCTGATAAACCAGCGCCAATCACGATGACAGATGACGGCGGAGGGGCAGCCACGGTTGCTGATGAAACTGCCAGAAGAAGAACGAGAAGGGAGAGTAGGAGCTTCATGGCTGCTGAGAGGTGCATGTTTCGAAGCATAGAGTGGCAAGGCAGTGTTTGAGTGGGTGGGAGTGTGTGTGGGGATTCGGCTCTTTATCAGCAGGTGCAGTATTGCCTCTTTTGGGTCGTTCTTACCTACCTACCTACCTCATTTTGAAACACCACATGTATTAAATGGAACGAGGAGTAGAAGAAGTAGATAGTAAAGTGGTTTTGGGGCTTACTGTGCTCTCGAAGAAGGGTTCAGCAGAATTCAGCTCCTTGGTATCTTGTCTCTTTGGATTTTTCCTCAGAAAAGTTGAAAAAGGGGACTTTCCCCCCTTCAAAGTTCCAAGAGTAGATAGCACACCCATAAGGAAAAAAAAGGTAGATAGCACGTGCTGAGTAACACTTGGAGGAGTAGTGAATTAGTCACAGACATTGTGTCATCTACCATTTACCTTGCTTGAGTGAGTAAAATTTTCACCATGCAAACACACATTAAGGTTATCATATGGGAAACTTCAAATACCGAAACCGACTGCCACCCCTAGAAGAAATGGAGCACTTCAAGTTGAAGGAATGGAGCACTTCAAATACCGAAATCGACTGACTGCCACCCCTAGAAGAAATGGAGCACTTCAAGTTTCTCATATGATAACCGTAATGTGTGTTTGCATGGTGAAAATTTTACTTACTCAAGCAAGGTAAATGGTAGATGCACAATGTCTGTGACTAATTTTAAACACAAACGCGATGATAACACAAATGCGATAATTTGTGCAAAAAGGCACAGACGAAAACCTAAAACAAAACACAAAGGCGATAATTTGTGCAAAAAACCATAGACGAAAAGCTAGCGAACAATAACTAAACACAAAGGTTGTAGAATGGAGAGTGGAGTAAAATAATGACTTGGAACTTCCCCACTTGCACTTGGAGGAGTGCGAGAGCCACTAATGAATATTAACTCCAACCTAGGCTTTTATATATTAATTTGTGCAAAAAGTCATATACAAAAACCTAGCGAACAAAAACTAAATACAAAGGCGATGATTTGTGCAAAAAGCCATAGAAGAAAACCTAAAACGAAACACAAAGGCGATGATTTGTTCAAAAAGCCATAGACGAAAACCTAGTGAACAATAACTAAACACAAAGGTTGTAGAATGGAGAGTGAGGTAAAAGAAGGACTTGGAACTTCCCCACTTGCATTTGGAGGAGTGTGAGAGTCACTAATGAATAGGCTTTTATATATTAATTTGTGCAAAAAGTCATAGACGAAAACCTAGCGAACAATAACTAAACACAAAGGCGATGATAACACAAAGACGATGATTGGTGCAAAAAACCATAGACGAAAACCTAAAACAAAACACAAAGGCGATGATTTGTGTAAAAAGTCATTGACGAAAATCTAGCGTACAATAACTAAACACAAAGATTGTAGAATGGAGAGTGGGCTAAAAGAACTTGGAACTTCCCCACTTGCACTTGGAGGAGTGTGAGAGCCACTAATGAATAGTAACTCCAACTTAGGCTTTTATATGCAAAAAGTCATAGACGAAAACCTAGCGAACAATAACTAAACAAAAATGCGATGATTTGTGCAAAAAGCCATAGACGAAAACCTAAAACAAAACACAAAGGCGGTGATTTGTGCAAAAAGCCCTAGACGAAAACCTAGCGAACCATAACTAAACACAAAGGTTGTAAAAGGAGAGTGGGGTAAAAGAAGGACTTGAAACTTCCCTTGTTGCACTTGGAGGAGTGTGAGAGCCATTAATGAATAGTAACTCCAACTTAGGCTTTTATATATTAAATTAATAATTAGGCTTTTATATGCAAAAAGTCATAGACGAAAACCTAGCGAACAATAACTAAACACAAAGGCGATGATTTGTGCAAAAAGGCATAAACGAAAACCTAAAACAGAACACAAAGACGATGATTTGTGCAAAAAGCTATAGACGAAAACCTAGCGAATAATAACTAAACACAAAGGTTGTGGAATGGAGAGTGAGGTAAAAGAAGATGTTGGAACTTCCCAACTTGCACCTGGTAAAGTGTGAGAGCCACTAATGAATAGTAACTAACAACTTATGCTTTTATATATTAATTAATAATTAATTTCTTGGGAGGAAAAATTGGTCGTCCAAGTGACCGTCGATAAAGTTCTTTTGATTATTTAAACAGGTCTACGAGTGGCAGTTCGGAAATTGGCCCAGTGATGACGGTTGGATAAAGTTTTTCCCATTTATTAAACTAGCAAAAGCCCGCTTGCAATCGTTTCGCGTATAAGAAAAAGTTAATACTTTAAAGAGTAATAATTAGTATTTAAAATGAGTCATGTTAGATTTATTCCATATTAAATAATACTATTTTTTATTTTTTAATAATGATATAAATGAAAGAATATTATGTTTTCTAGAAAAAGAATAATATATGGTAAGGATAATTTTGTATTTACAAATCAGAGCTTTTGTTTTTAAGTTCGAAAAATTTCAATTTTTTATAAAGCAAAACTTTAGAGGTGTTTGGTTTGGATTCAACTTTTGAAACATAAAACTTTACAATTCGGGGCAAACATAGTCGTACACTTTTGGCTTTTTTTTTATGGTTTGAGGTAATTGTGGTTCTCCTTTATGAAATTTTTGGACTGATTGCATGGTTGAGGAGGTTCAACTCGCATTGAACGACTCAAATTAGGTTGGATTGCCATGGATTTGGGTTCAATTGTATTTGTCAAACAAAACGAAAAAGCGAAATGAAAAACTGGCGACCGACTCAAAACTCGTTAACACTAGGTGCAACTCGCTTTGACCTGGTTGAACCGAGTTTTGGGAAAAGTCACACCTGACACAACCCGCCAATTACAAAAAAAAAAAAGATAAAACGCGCTCCCGCCAAAAACTTGTAATATTGGGTTCAAGTCGCTTTGGTCGGGTCGAATTAGGTTGTATACCCATGCGTTTGGACTCAATTGTCATTTTCAACCAAAAGGAAAAAGATAAAAAATACTAAAACGGATAAAACTCGCTCATGACCCCAAACTCTCAACACTACGTTCAACTCGCTTTGACTGGGTCGACCCAGTTTTAACAAATTCACAGTTTACCCAACATGTTAATTACAAAAGCGGATAAAACTTGCTCTCGATACAAAACGCGTCAAAAATGGGTCAGAGTTCAACTGTCATTCTCAACGAAAAGGAAAATGAGAAATAAAAAAAATATTACAGCGTACAAAACTGGTTAACAACGTGTTCAACTCGCTTTGAACAATTTTCTTAACAAAGTAAGACTTGGTTCAACCTGCCAACTACAAAAGCGGATAAAGCTCGCTCACAATACAACACTCGTCAATACCTTAGATTCGGGTTCAATTGTCTTCCCAACCAAAGGAAAAAGAGTATTTTATAAATGCTAAAGTAGTTTTCAAGTCGCTTTGGCCGGATCAAAATAAGTTGGAGACCTTGGATTTTGGGTTCAATTGTGTTCATGCTAAAAAAAAAAGTGAAAGAAAAAAACACTAAAGCGGACAAAACTCGGTCCCGATGCAAAATTGGTAAACATTGAGTAGATATGGTATGGATTTTCGGTAGCGGCATTGGGAAACGGTGGGGGACAACTTAGGATTCCGTTGACAGTGTTTTGAGAAGGTTGTGAATTGGTGAGCAATGTTGAAGATTGGACAGAGCATATCTAGTATGGATCTTTGGTCGCGGCCATAGCAAATGGTGGAAAACGAGTTGGGTTGTGAAATGGTGCAAAAGGTGGATAGTTGCTACAATAGGGAGGTGAAAACCTAGTAGGCAATAATTGTTACGTGAAACACAATGGACAATAGATGTAAACCTAACGAACACCCATGTGTTTGCGTTCAATTGTGATCATGTTCAAGGAAAAGAAAAAAACATTAAAGAGGATGAAATTCGGTACCAATACAAAACTCGTGGTAGAGGCCTTGGAAAACAGTGGTGGGGAACAACTTTAGATTCCGTCGACAATATTTCGAGATGGGCTGCAAAATGATCGCCAAAAGCGATGATTGTGTTAAAGGTAGGATACTTATGTGTTTGGAATCAATTGTGCTCGTCCTCAATAAAAAGGGAAAAGAGAGAGAAAAAAATACTAAACAGGATGAAACTCGGTCCCGATACAAAATTCGTGGTAGCGGCCTTGATTTGTGTGGTGGAGCACAACTTAGGATTCAACCGACAGTATTTTGAGATGGGCTGCAAAATGGTGAGCAAAGACGATGATTTGTGAAAAAGATATAGACTAAAAGCAAAAAGATAAAGAAAAAACACTAAACATGATGAAACTCGGTCCCGATACAAAATTCTTGGTAGCGGCCTTGATTTGTGTGAAGGGAAACAACTTAGATTCAACCGACAGTATTTCGAGATGGGCTGCAAAATGGTGGGCAAAGGCAATGATGTGCAAAAAGCCATAGACGAAAAGCTACCAAACAATAACTAAACGTAAAGGCAATGATTTGTCCAAAAAGCCATAGACGAAAACCTAGCGAACAATAACTAAACACAAAGGTTGTAGAATGGATATAGTGGGGTAAAAGAAGAAGTTGAAACTTCCCCGCTTGCACTTGGAAGAGTGTGAGAGCCACTAATGAATAGTAACTCACAACCTAGCATGGTAAAGGAAACCGTATCGGAGGTCATACCGGATCCGTCATCGGTAGGGTATTTTATGGTACGACCGTGGTTCAACCGTTGTGTACCGGCAAAATACCGTTTTTGTAATTAAATAATATTTTTTGGTTAAAAAACTGTACCGGCAGATTCATGATACCCTTTCGGAGTAATACCGGAATAAAACCGGAATATACCAGATATCAAACCTGAATAAACTAAATAGGCATATGTAATATAACAATCAACAAACTGCAACATTACTAAATTAAGAATTAACTACATGGTCGTTCAAATGCATGTTTAGGATCGAGTACAAAGCAACCAAACAACATTCTCAAACCACAAGTTCAAACAACATTCTCAAACCAAACAACATATCTTTTTCGTTCAAAGTACTAAACAACCAAACAACATTCTCAAACCACAAGTTCACAACTACCACAAACTCAAACTCGCAAGCACTACAACGTTCACAAACAACGTTCCATATCTTCGAACAACACCAAATGTAGAGAGGTCTACATTCTGCAAGTCGTCCCCTTCATCTTCTTCATCAACAACTGCAATACAAGAGAAAACAAGTAAGAATTATTATCAATTATTAGTATTAGAATTCATATCATACATAATTGAT